CCACAAGGAAGGTTCCAAGAAAGCATGGCGGCTTAGCATGGTATGGCTGTGCTTGCGGTTGCCCCAATTACCAAAGAGTGCCAAAGAGGGCCAGGTGTGAGACGTTACTTGTAGAAAGTTTGTAGAAGTGTCAGACCCACAGAATCTTGCCAGGAGTCGAAGCGCTCCCGGCTCTCGCGTGCAGCTTGCCCAAACGGTTCCCGCTTGTGCCTGTAAGCATTTGATGCGCTGTGGTCGTCATTTTAGGTTTTAACCATCCTCTAATACCGCATCGAACCGTACTAGCATCCGTATATCGCCGTTGAAGGCGCTAACATATATGTCTAGGCGCAACGGTCTCGCGATGTCTCGCGGTTGCCAGACGCTGTGTGTCAAGTCAGACAATGTCGGTTGGTTCTCCCACTGCAATGACATGCACAGCTGTTGCGAGCTTGCTTTGTTCAATGTGTTGCACCGTCATTCAAGCCTGATAAGCCTGATATTGATGCTCAGCCCAGATCACCACTTGTCGCAGGCAAGGACGATGCATTTTTAAAGTGCTTGACCATTGCTTCATGATACTTGCGCTTGAGCTTGCTATGACAAACGGTTTATCGGCGTAATCAGCTGGCTAGCTTGTGGAAAGCTGAAGGGCTCAAGCCGCGAAGAGTTGCAGGGAAACATGCCTGTGGGGGTTTTCACCATCTTCGACTGCAGGACTGCTTCTTTGACTTTGGAAGGGATGGCTTTCGAAAGCACAGGGCGAGAGCTTGTAGTATGAACGTAAAGATGCGAGGACTGATGGACTGCCTTTTGCAGCTCGGATTCTGCACGAGGTGGGTTTGCAACCCATCTCCCTTTCTCATCACCAACCACCAGAAACGAGGATTCCCCAAAAGTATCATACTACTTCATGCTGGGCTGTTCAAGGTGACCTCTCTTCCTCTCCGATTGCCAAACTGTGGGCCCTGATCGGTTTCTTGCATTTCCTGTGGACGCAGCCAGGTGATTCATCACTGGGCGTGTGCTTCCAGAGATCTTGCCACGCAAGGCTCCTGGTGGGGGAAAGCGCAGGCCGTCCCAGCCTTTCGCATGGTATCCTGCAATATGCCGAGGTTTGGCCCAGACAAAACCATCCAGTTTGGTCTGAGCTTCGTTCGACGAGGAGGCACGGCTTTTCGAGCAAAATGGTGTCAGTTGCCCACCGCAGCGCAAGATGAGGTGTAGAGCCCGCAGTTCCATGGGGCACCTATGGGCGTGATGTTGCGTGAAGCCAAGTCTTCAACTCTTGTTTCTCAGACGCAGAGAATCCAATGTCAACTGAGCTGCAGTGCATTGACCAAGCGCCCAGCTTGATCAATTGTTGGCACACATACACATTTCTTCCATTTTGTTCTATCGAAATCCTCATCACCCCATGTGCATCTGCGTCAATCTGCAGACCGCAGACCGTTGGAGTAGTTCAGGGGCCGTTAATGAGGTTGATTGTCGAAGCTCCTCCAAAGTACCGCCGGCATATCGACATAGATCCACGCGTGCTGTCTGATACATTTTGCAATCGGCATACTGGGCCACTTAACGCTTCACCCATTTCTCTCGTCGGGACAGTTGGCACAACTCTGGCAGTTTTTGAAGCGATTTTGCTTCTGTTTCGCGTGCATCAGTCCACCCCTGCTGCCTAATCAACAAACAGACCAGCGAGAAACTCATTGTAGACTCGCGGAACTCTTGCCAGTCGCAAGGCGTCGCAAGGTTGGTGCTATGGAGCCCTGATGCCGCTGCCTTGCCAACCCATGTTGGGGAAACCAGCGCGGCACCTCCTCAACAATGTGCGTCTAAGTGGGCGTGTGAGAGCACTAGTGAACTTGCTGGATACAGGACAAGAGCAAAGACCGGGCAAGGCGGTGACTAGAACCCACACAGGTTCTGTATAGCTACGTGCAGCAATCTCTTTAAGACAAAGCCTCGTAGGCGTGAAGGAGTCTCTTCCGATCGACAAGGTCGCAGCGCACAAACGACATCGGCAAGGAGAGCAGACTATCCGCCTCTACGAGAAGCACACTTCTAAGCACCAAACCGGCACCCACAACGGCCTTGCCAATGTGGTCCACAACAGAAGGCCGCGGAGGATATCGCTTTGGACCTTTTGCATCGCCGTCGACAACTTCGCCACCTTGTACTGGATTTTGGATACCGCTCTAGGCTGCCGTCGCAGCCCAACATGTTTGGGTGGATGACTTTACTGACCGGGCAATGCGATTGCCAATGTTCGCTTGGGGGCATGATGCGCGCTTAAAATCGATTTGGGGCCTGACAATCTCATCGATCTTGAGTTTCCAAGGTGCTCACCCTTCTGGATAACCTGCAGGCGCCCTTGGTGCTGCCTCTGTAATAGGGCATCACGCCGGTAGCAAGTGATGACTTGGCATGAAGTATGAGCAGGCATCCTGGGTCAATGACTGTGACGTTACGTCTGGAGAGCTCTCCAGCCAAGAGGTGCATCCGCTTCGTAAGTTTGCATATCTTCCTGTGCCCCTCTCGCCCGCTCTCTGGCAGGAGGCCCTCTGTCTTGCACTGGAGTCCCTGGCATCGGGAGGCGCTGGCAGGGGTGCGGCGAGCAGCTGGCGCAAGAGGAAGGAAGGAAGAGAGCGCCGCCAGAGTCGCACAGGCGAAGAGCTCGGCGACGCCTGCGCGGGCCGCGCAGCGGTCGAGGTTTGGAGCAGCGAGAGATCACGTGGTGTGGAATCTGGAAGCTCTGCAAGGTTTGGAGCTTCTGGCCAAGGAAGCTCGTGCAGAGGTCCTCAGAATTCACACATATCCCAGCTTGACTATTCCGATCGGTTCTGAACGTTTTTTCCTTTTCTGAGGTGTTGCTCTGCTGCTTCAGAGCGACTGCGCGGCCTGCAGACTGCCGGAATTGACGTGACGGTGGGTTCTGGAGATGCTTCGTCAAGTCTTTGTAGCATGTCGGGAAATGCAGCTCAACCTGTGAGGTGGTGAAGCTTGCGGACGAGTCGTTCAGGAGCTGACTGCTTGAGATATGGCAGACGAGACGAAAACTTGTGGTTGTGTGTGCCCCAAGCCATGGAAGGAGCGACGATGATGGACAGGGTCGGCTCATCGACATAAAGGACACAACTCCATCTGCTGGCGCAGGGACATCACGGTCAATGATCAATGCCATAATAAGCTTCTAGCTCGCACAGTTTGGCTGCATGGCGTAACTTCCGGATTCGAGCCACTATGGCTCAGATCGAAAGTACAAAGAAGCTACTTGTTCTCTGTGTTCTCATCCTAGCTCCATCCAGCACGTTATGGGAGTCAACATATCCAAAAGCTTTCAAACAATTTGCCTATCCTGAAGAGTGGAGCCTGTGCAAGCCGATTATTTACACAAGTCTTGGCCCTGGGCCACGGCATACGGCCGAGCAAGGCCGAGTAAGGCGCTAGATCAGGCATTCAGACCACACACAAGATAGCTCGTAACACGACTCCACAGTTGTATGACGTGCTTTTTCCATGGGGGAGGTGGACGCCGCAGCATTGCTGGAGTGGATCAATTCGCTGGCAGTCGTCGGCGAGTTTGTTCAAAGCCTGGATGAGCTGGCCAACGGCAAGATCTTGCTGCGAGTCATGCGCGATGTGAATCCGGAGGCATTTTCCGAGCACTCGGGATCTGAGCTGAAAGCGCTCCTGCGTGGACTCGTCGAGCATTTCAAGGGTCGGCAGGGATGCGCTGAGGCGGTGGCCCGGCACTGGCTTGAGGAGGGCGGCACGGTGACATCTCTGCTAACGCAGCTTGTGATATGGGCAACTTTAGACAATGAGCTTCCAAATCATGCGTACTATGTTCAGACATGCCAGGAGCTGAGTGCCACATCAGCTTCGGCTATCGTTCTTATAGCTGAGCGCTTTAGCCTCGACTTGGACTCTTCTCCATTGTCCTCAATCATCCCTGGGATCCCTGGGTTTCCTCGCAAATCCGGCGCCTTTACCGGGTCGCCGGGAGGTTCCGGTGCGCTACCTCGCACCTTGTCGGCCGAGTTGCCAGACTTTTTGGAAGTTGGTCTAGATTCGGAGACGCGGTTTCGCAGGTTAAAGGAACACTACATCGCCTTGAAGGAGGAGCAAGAGCGCTGGGAGGAGGAGAGGAGCAGGCTAAATGCTGAACTTGAAACGGAGCGTGCTAAACGTGTAGAAGCGCAAGAGAAGGAACGTCTCGCCCAAGCGGAGCTCCGCCTGGCTGACGAGGCATCGGAACGAGCACGGGAGGAGCAGCGCGCATCGATGGAGATGAAACTCGAGCAGGAATTGTGGAAGGCTACAGCGGAGCTACGGCAGAAGGAGCAAGAAGTTGAGCGCTTGCGTGAAGAAGTGGAGATCTCACGGGTGCAAGCTCAGAACAGCCAGAAGCTGCACTCGCAGCTGGAGATGTACAAGAAACGGATGGAAGAGTGTCAGGGCTGGAAACGAGAGAAAGACGAGCTGCGGAAGCAACTGGATGAGATTACGACCTCCAGGCAGGCAGGCTCTGGCACTGTAGAGCATCTGCATGGCCGGTTGGCAAATCTCCGGGATGACTTGGCCTCAGTTTCTCGTGAGAGGGACGAGGCGCGGCTTCAAATCCAGATGCTGCAAAGTCAGCTGGAGCAGGCACAGACACAGGCTCAAAGCAATGACCAGGAGATCTCTCAACCAACACGCGCGGTTGAAACGAGCGGAAGTGGAGCTAGTGGTGTCCTGGCCAGCCAGCTCGGATCCGTGAGGGATTCCGAACAAGAGAGACTTGCCCGTGACTTGAAGGCACGACTGGACTTGCGTGAGCGGGAACTACAGGTTCTGCACTGGCGCGGACAGGCTGAAAGCCATGCGCTGCAAGCGCAAGAAACATTGATGGCGTCGTGCTTTCATGAACTCGGGCTCCGCTACCATCAGCTCAAAGTCCAGCACGACTTGTTGCAGAAGAGACTCTACGCAGAAGGCCAAAAAATGATTGGAAGCACTTTCCAGGAGTCTGCCTTCAGCTGCACTTGAAGTGGTGTCTGCTCTCGTTCCGGCAGTTTCATGAGGAAGTTTCCATGCCTCCTACGAGGCTAGCTGTGCCTGCAGCTCAGAGCCTTTCCAACGAAGTTGGTGAGCTTGAAGTTGGCAAAATTGGCGAAACAAGACTCCGATAGACTTGTGAACCGTTGCTGACAGACTTCGTCATCTTCGGAGCCGTCCGAAGCTCGGGCAGCGAGGGGACTACGGCGAATATCGGCGAATACGGAGGCTTCCTAGTGCCTCCTTTCAGACTGCAGGCCTGTCGGTGAAGCTCATGGTGAACTTGGAGCTGCACCTCGGCAAGCCGCCCTTGCTTGGCCTGGTTCCGGTGTGTTTGTTTGCGCTTCAGGCCGGGCAAATTTCCAGCCACTGTGGAGGAATGGAAAGTCGATGCGGCATACCAGGATATGCAGCTTTCACAAGAACACGAGGTGTCACCTGCGCACTGTGAGGAGAACCTTGACCCTTGCTTCAACTCGGTTGCCTGCAGTTGCATCTTGGCATGGACACTCTAGTTGACTGGAAGCAGTATCATCTATCATCGGCCTGACAACGCAGGTAGTCCCATTCTCCTCCTCATGCCCGGCCAGCATGAGGTGCCCTCCATGCCACGTAGAAGTCGTTGCAAGCTCCGATGCCTAGACCGGGAAAACTGCAGCGGGTAGCATCGCATTAACTTGTAAGCAGTTCGCCGGCACCTGCCTTCGATTGGCCCAGAGTGTGGAGATGGCAGCTTATTCTGCGACACATCACTGGAACCTTGTGCTTTGCCCAGTGCCGCAGGCAGCCAATGCGCAGTTGTCGACCTCACAATTTCATTTCCAACGCTTTGTGCGCGCTGGAGGCGTGGATTTGCAAGACCATTGCTTGCACAGCAGACGACTGCAACCTGGATAGGCATCGATCCTTGCCACTTCTATGGCATTCCATTGGTGGCACGACCTGTGTCGAAGGTCAATCTGAGCAGTAGGCCAGGTCATTTGACAATCTCTTGTGTCCTGCGAATTCACGAAAACCAACGCAGAATGCGTGTGCGTGTGCGGGTGCGGGTGCGGGCGCGTGTGGGTGTGTGTGCGTGTGTGGCTTTTGCCTTTGAATGTATATTTTAATATGTTTGTGTGTTTGTAGAGTCCAGGATTCGAAATCGGGATGACGCCGCTGACTCGAGCTCCTTCGAGAAGCTGGCCTGCTTGGCACAAGGCCAGGTAGAACCGTAAATTTTAAGAAGGTGCCTTGCGGGGCAAAGACATCCGTTCCTCGGTTAGCATCGAGCCTGCTGAAAGTGGTCGTGAGCTTGCTTTCTCGAACAGGTCAAGCCGCGCTCTATGCCTCAAAGGCCACCCCTCTAGTTCATTTCCTGTGCCGAGGGAACCCAGCCATGGATTCTACGTGTGTTGTGGGTATCCTGGTATGCTTTTCCGCGTTTCAGCAACAATAGAAAGCCAGAGATGGCAGAAGCACGCAGAAATCATGCAGATCACTGCGTATCCGCCTTCCGTCTGCCGTCACCTACTCAAGCACGGATACGCACGTTCCATGCAGCACACTAGCGCCACACATCGCGGCAGGTATGCCCGCTGGAGCTGAAAACAGGTGGTGCAAAGTGTCTCATATGCTGCATACTTTTTGCTTGCTCCTTTTTGTGAAGGATGCCGTACCTTCCATTGGCTGGCTTCAGTCGGAAGCGAATCTCGAGACTCGGCCAGCTTCCTGGGGGCCATGCCCAGCTTTTCGTTACACTCCCGGTGCGCATGGCAAGGTGCTGGTTTTGCGCGGACTGGCCAACCATCACACGGTCAAGAGCTTAAAAATTCCAGCGACGCCACTGGTGCCCAAGACACGTCCAGCAGAAAATGGAAGCATATCCGAACCTTGCGTCTCCAGGGCCCTCGTCTTGCATGTTTTTCCAACTATGAAAACCCTGCTACCATTCGCCCAGACCAGTCTTCTGGGTCTGCAGAGTCAGGCCGGCGTGTTGTGAAATGCCATGGCAGTAGCTGGAGCCTACGCGGCACTTTAAAAGCCTTACAGGCTGTCGGAGAAATGTCGGACGGACTGAATGAGGAAGGCTGGACAGACGCGGTGTGATGAATTCCAACACATCTTTGTGTCGCATGTGTTCTCTGCAACAGCTCTCGTCAGCATGTTGGTGTTCTGGGCTAGCAGGCGTTGCACCATTGAGCCTGGATGCCTTGCCCCAGCTAAGTGCGGGCCTCATACCACATTCCTCAAAACCGTGAGGGCCGGCCTCTTCAAACACCAATACTGCAAGGTGTGTACAACCCACTGTGCGCAGAATCCGTTCTACATGCAGCAATGTTGGAGGTGGCAGCTCGGCGTGTGCACGCTCTCGCTGCATAGTATGGCTCTTGCAGTTACCTGGGACGGTGCCCCCGACGAAGCAACTCTTATTGTCAGGTCCCCTGGCCAGCAGCGATGCCAAGTGAGGCCTGAAAGCCAACTCAGGAGTCATCTAAATCTAAATGCTAAATCAGGCTTTTGCTGCGATTGCTCGTTGAAAGACTGAAATGAGTCGGCCTAAGCACGCCGTCGCATGCCACACCGCTTGCAGGTGTCGCGTGGACGTGGCGGTGGCCGCGCCCGTGGTCGCGGGCGTGGTCGCGGCGAGCCGAGGCCGAAGGCGGACGCTCCTGTCCTTGTGGATCCTTGTGGCCTCTCCGGGCGATGATTCCGGCGATGTGTCGCGCCTTGTCTGCTCGGTGAGGAAAAGACAGTTGCGACGGCGGCTCCGGCGCTGAACACCGAAGTGTGAGCCCGAGTCAGCGCGCGCCACCTTAAATTCCGCTATCGTCACGGTTTATAATAGGGCTTAGGGTTCACGGTCCGTCATGGATTTAGGGTTCAGGGGAAGTTTGGGGGCATCGCTTCGAGTTCAGGGTCCAGGGTCCGTGGCTCAGACTTCCACTTCTGCGGTTGAGGGCTTCTGACGTGGTTTAAAGTTTAGGGCTTGGCCACGTTGAGTGTCGGCTTCTTTGGTAGGGTGTGTGGTTGTAAAACGGGTCTCGGGTTGGGGCCACCGGGCGGTAATTTAGCGTGGTATGTGATAGGCTTGTTTTTTCGGGCTTGTCAATTTTGGCTTTGTTGCGTGTATAGTCTAGGTCCATAGCTGGGCTGCAAGGTTTAGAGCCAGTGACTTGTACTTGTTAGGGTTTAGGCCTAGGCCTTGTCCTCGGGTGTAGATAACGGTTTTTTTTTGGGTTCTGGTATGTTCGGTTTTCTGTCGATTTTCTCAACTTTGGGCTTGTCATTGTGTGGACTGTAGGGTTTAGCGTCCATGTCTCAGGGCTTACACTTTAGGGTTGAGGGCTTGTGCTGGGCAGGTGACTGGTACAGTGTTTGGCTTCGTTTAGGCCTGGGGTTGCGAGTTGTTGCTGGACCGGCAGTCTTTCGCTGGGGTGTGCGATGGCTCAGGGTTGGGTTTCTGGCCGGTTTAGGGTTTAGGGTTTGTGGTTGTATATCGTTTGAGGGGTGGGTTGTGTACGTTTCGATGTGTTACGTTGTCCTCAGAATTTCAGATTCAAGCTTGGCTTGGTTTTGCTTTGGCTCTGGGGTTAAGGGTGTAGGGTTGGGGGTTCAATTGAGGGCTTGTGACTAGGTTTAGGGTTTGACCCTATTAAGGGTTTGGGGGTGCGCTTTCTGGTGGATTGCTTGGTGCAGGGTTTAGGGCTTGTGACATGTTGCGATCTATGGTTCGTCTTCAACAGCTTGGAGTTTGACGCGTTGGTCCATTTTTTGGCTTTCTAGGGCTCGGAGTGCCCAATAACAATACCGTTCTGTTCTTGCTTGTTCTGGCTTTAAGGTTCGGGCTTCAGGATGTCGAGTTCAAGGCGTACGTCGTGTACGTGTAGGCCTTCAAATACGTTTTCGGGTCCAGGGCATTGATTCATTGTGCAGTAAGGCTTGGTCTTTGACGGTGTTTTTTCGGTGTAGGGTTCAAGGTTTGGGGCTTTGGGCTTTGATTTTCTGTAGGTTTGCGGGGTCTCCCTCGTTTCGGGTTTGGGCTTGGGTTTGTGGGCGGAAATCATCTTAGGCCTAAGAGTTAAGTTGAGAGTCCAGTCAGGGTCTGGGGTTTGTGGCTTGTTTTAGGGATAGTGAGGCGGGCTTATTCTGTTGCGGGAGTCCGGAATCCATCCGTCGATCCGCTCCTGCTGCAAGAATCTTCTCGACGGCCGTTGTCCCAACAGCACAAACACGTACCACACTTGCACGTGTGGGCTGGGGCCGAGATGACCGGAGAAAGCTTCTGATGGATGCGGGGCGGCGGTCTAAACCGCTTGAAAGTGCCTCCGGTGGAACGCTTTCAAGAGCCTCGAAAAAGTCGCTTTGAAGTAAACACCGTCCCGGATCTTAGCTCGAGGGTTCAAGGTGCCATTGGAACTTGTCTCGTACCTTTTGGAGCATCTTTGATCCTGAGCCACCGTGATTAAGACTTAAGCTTCGGGATTTGTGCAGTTTTCAGCCCTCCAGTGTCCAGTGTTTACGGTTTAAGGTTTGAGGTCTGGCTTGTTTGGACGTTTGGGTTTTGAGCTGTTTGAGGCTTTGGGTTGGGGCTTCTCAAAGGCTGTAGGTTTTAGGAGTTTGGGGCTTGGACTGGCCTTGATTCTTGATGAGTTGTTTTAGGCTCGTGTAGGGAGCATGTTTCGACTGTGTGGAAAGACGGGAGGTGTGTGCATGCAGAAGACGCTATGATGCAATCCAGCATGAGTGCAAGAGATTGGTGCAGATAGGGCACAACGTCAAAGACGGCTTCTGTAACCATCAGTACTCTCAGTGGAACGCAGGTCACCAAAGGTTACACCTGTCCTTGTTGCTGTTGTGGGGGTTTGCTGCGGTTTTGGTAGCTGGTAGTCTCTTGGGGATCACGATCTGTTCGCTTATTTGGCCCGCTTGCTTGCGCATGACTACCTATCATGCAACAGTACCGCTTGATGCTAACAGTACTGTGGTGATGCCCTCTGATCACTTTCGGGTGCATGCTCAAACAAAGTGTCTTCACGCAACACAACATCGTGGGATGCAGCAGCTTGAGGATTGTGTATAATACGTCAAACCCGGCTCAGGAAAACATAAACTCGGGACGATGTCTGTTGCATTGAGTCTACTTCGCATGGTCGTTTAACAAGGGCTTGCCAAGCCAAGACAAGCCAAATTTAGTCAAACGAAAGCATTTTTGGGACTGCCCCTTGTGGTTTCAGCTGTTGCTGGCTGTTGATTTGTTCTTGATGCAGATTGGATATTTTGAGAACCCACTAGACGAACAGAGCGCCCCATCTCAGACACATTCGTCTCAAGCAGCAGATCTGGTTCCACGAGAGCCAACCAAGCAGGCATGCATTGCGTTGAACTTGCAATGTCCAGGTCCAAGCAGGCCTGCAGACGGTCGAGATGCAGCCGGTGAGCTGCGTGGGGTCTGCAACTCAAGATCGTCGTTTATGTCACCGGCTCTCAGCACAATGGCGCAGTGATGTTGTCAGAAGGTTTTAAGTTTTGTGCTTCTGATGGGAACCTAGCCTGTCGCTTCCAAAAGCTTGCGTCCCTTTTCCGTTCATGTCAAGACTCATCTCGCAGGGCGAAGGTGGCTGCAGATTTGATGCCTGCGGCAAATGCCGGGCCTGCAGCGCCGCCGGCACTGCCGACTGCAGTGGAGCCTGCCAATACTGCTTCAGCAAACAGCCCAGATGCTTCTTTGGACTTACGGGTTCTCTGTGCTCTTTGGGCCTCGCAAGCGGCAAAGACACCTAGCTCCAAGGCCAAGCGCCCTAGGAGCTCGCTCGGCAGCGCTGGATCACTAGCACCGCTGGCCTCGCTGCTGCCGCTCAGAAATGGGAAGTATTCTCTTGTGCTTGGATTTGCTTTGGCATCGGTCATGGCCCATTGTCCAAACCTGACCGTGTTTAAAAGCATCAAGTCAAGTCGAGGCAGCAGCCACGACGGCGTCTGCAGGGCTCTGCAGGCACAAAATTCGACGCCAAAGGTGTTGCTATGGCATTGACAACAACCCCCTTGCAGGTGTCAGTGGCTTGCGGCAAAAGGGGTCTTCATTCTTGACCGAGCAGGAGGTTTCCCGAGTGCATGCTTGCTGAGGCTTCATGCAGAAATCTATGCAATCTGTGCCCGGCAGGTTGCGAGCATTGCTGCTGGCAGCTTCAAGTTCGACTTTTGACGCAGACTCTTGGGAACGAGCCTGCCTGTGAATCTGGAATATGATATCTTCAACGCTGGTAGGTGCTGGAAGGATACATATGTGTGCACGGGGTTCACCTTCCTTGAGAGACCGAGCAGCCTTGGTTTGGCATCATAAATTCTGAAATCGCATGTTCTTCCTCCGCCGTGCTTTGGGTCATAGTCTACATAGTGTAGATCTGCTGGGCACATGGTGTCCACAACGAATTCACTCGCTTGAGAGCAGTCAGATTTGAGCCGGGGACAGAAAAGGTTGCATGACACGAGACTAATGTAGCAGAGCAGGAGCATACGGCTTGCCAAATCATGATGTTGGTGCAGGTTGAAGGACCAGTCTGACGGCACTATCGTGGCTGGCTACCGTGACAGGGTCGCGTGAAGGGCTTCTGAAAGAGAAGCTGCTTGGCCTGTCTGGCTGCAGGTGAATCGATACGAGGTTGATGTGGCGCAGGACATCCGAAGCTTTCCGTAGTCTCCAGTTGGTTGTGGAACAGAGCAGACACGGTCGAATCACGAATCTTAGTCGCCTGCATTGAGTTCACGCCCGTGTCCAGAACAGACCTCAACCCCGCTCGAAGCCTAGCGGTCTCCGCTTTAGGGTTTAGTGTTTATGATGGCAAATGATTCTAAAGTTTTCTAGTCCAGGGTTACCAACCGGAGCCTCTCCAGATCCCGACTCGACCCACCGGTCTTCCACGCACAGCCCCACGCACCCTCCTGACTGACACGGGTTAAGCGACTCACCCGTCACCCGTCGAATTATCCTTTAAGGACTCCATTAATGATATTCAGTCATTTCAGCGACCATCTTGCCGAATCTCTTGAGTTTTGGAGGTTTGGCTGGTGTTAATGTCCAGCTCATATTAAGAAAGGCGCCCACCCTCGCTGCAAGGATGTGGGCCCCAGCCTCTGTAAGGAACCTCTGCATTGGCAAGTAGTAGCCAGAAGTCCCAGAAGTACCGAAAGGTCATTTGTGAGTGGGTAAATTAGGATGTTTACCCTCGTGTCCAACTCTTTCAACACTCGTCACTGCAAAGGAGTGCTTCGTGCGCTATTTCCACTCCAAATCCAGCAGCCTGTGGCACCGGGCTTAGTTGATTGGTCATGCGGGCAGTGGGTTGCCCTCGTATGATCTCGGGCGAGGAATGCAGACGTTATCATTGAAGCCTTGGCAGATTTCGGGATCAAGGCACGGCCAAGCTAACTCCACGAAGTTACTTCTTTACTCTTCTGACTCCACTGGCTTTGACTAGGCCTCAAGCCGCACAGAGAAGCTGGCGTTGAAATCCGTGCTGCATCTCGCGGCATGTTTGAACCGCTCTGCTTTCTAGCTCGCTTTGGCTGACCGTACGGTTAAGGCATACATGATTCTACGTTGAGCTTCTTTAGTTGACGACTTGACTGCAGCAGCTGTGCAAGGTTGGCTGTGATTGTGGAGTACAGCGGTCTTCGTTGAAATGTTTTTGGTAGATGTGCCATTACACATGTTGGAATGCCTTCCAAGCCAGGAGTGAGTACGAGGCACCAAAAAGGGGCCTGCAAAAATGGACCGCTTGCATCCGACTGCAACTGTAAGCTTGCGTGTCGAAGTCTTACGGCAGATCCGTGACGTCACGTTGTGTTCTCTTGTGATCTCTTGTGCCGGGAATGTCTGTGAACAGTTCATGTGTGTTGCACAGGGAGATCAGATCGGCTTCAACAACTTCTGCTCCATCATAGAGGAGGCGCGTTTCCTCAATAGTATTGCAGCTCAGGGCACTTGTTGAGAGGCCAAGTACGACCAAACAATCTCCACAAGTTCACGCCGTGGGAGCTTGGTTGTTGCAGGCCCGCAGCAAAATGAGATCAACGAGATCGCTTGCCGCCAGGAACTCTGTATGCTTCATGCTTGTTTGCAACACGTCTGCGATTCTCGTGCAATGTTGCAAGCAGCATCACCGCCTCTTGGGCTTCCGAGGTATTTCAGGCCTGGAAGTATGCCGACAAGGAGGCCGATTCGGTCAGAGCATCGCAAAAGTCCGGCTGCTGGGTGCAACTCACTCTGTTTGCAGGCTTGTTGGCTCCAAAGAGTTTCCACTTCCAGCCCGCACATTGCATTGTGCATCGTTGTGCACAGGATGCTGGGGGCTTGAAGCCGGATGCGGTCATGCAGCTTTTGGAGGACGGGAGTAATTCATACCTGTAGCATCATTGACTAGTAGTTGGAACTGGTTTCGACCCGTGTAGTGGCGGATTTAAGTTTGCTTTTGCTGCGGTCGCATTTCGCCCCGGAGCTCTTGGATCATGTCCAGGCTCCACGTGTAGGCAGCCTCCTGCAGGGAGCAACCACAACATGCTCCCAGCCAGCTCCGCCGAACCAAATTCAATGGCACATCTACGGCAGTGCGGTAGCAGCACTTCGCTATGCTGCACGGGCGTTGCAGGATCTCCAACTTGCGTTCGGCAAGGATAGCCTCGAACGGCAAAATGTTGAGGCCGCGCTGTGGCACAGTTGTGAGTTGTTGTTCTTTGGCTTGGCAAGGCTATGGTGTCTGACTGTCGCACAGATCCGGCGGGCATCCTTACAGGCTTCCGATAGACATCGCTTCGATTCGCTTCGTGTGCGGTCGCCAAGGCCACTGGCCTTATTGGACTGACGGAGGCAAGCATGTCGAGCAGAGTTACTCTGCTCCGATCTTGCACAGTCCCGTGCTAAGGTGGAATTCTTGGTATCAGCAGTCCGGGAGTACATGATGCAGACTCAGCGAAGTCAAGAACGAAAGCTCCAGGTGCAGACATGGAACACAGTGATCACCAGATCAAACCGAGTCTGTTGACTGTGAATTTGTGCGGCCCGCCGTGTATAATCTTCGCAGGTGGAGTACCAGCTGTCAGACAGCATGTTTCAAGAGCTACCGTGCTGCAATGAGCCGAGATGCAAGTAGATGCCAGGTGAATGCAAGTCGAATGCAAGTGGACTCAGGTTTCGCAGCCAGCTCATAAGATTTCATGAGTCGCCAGCCCAGTCCGGAAGCGAGTCTTTCGGATGGGGTGGCAGTGTTCAGTGCAGGTGGAAATTGAGGATTGTCGAAGATGCCTTTGGGGTGGGAAATGTATCTGGTTGTAGACGAAGGTGGCTGAATCACTGTGTGGGCTGTAGATCGCAGAGTTGCAAGCGAATCTTCTAGCGGAACATTGGAAGATTCGAAAAACGCGACGTAGAACCTAGCGATGAGTCCAGCAGGACCGCAAGCGTTGCCATGGGTGAACATAGCACAGTAGTTGCAGCGAGGAACAGCAGGCCTGGTGGGCATTCTGCGAGAACTGGCCGCTGAGAAACGGCAGAAAGCTTCCCGATTAAGTGAGTCGCAAGCGCCAGCATTGGGAGAGTGTTGGGAGACGTCGGGGGATATGACGGGGATGTGGGTGCTGGAGGACGGTGAGTGGACATGGTTGCTGTTTGCATTTTACGTTGGTTGTTTTGAGGCAGAAGCTGACCTCGTAATCTCGGTGAGGTCTTTCGTAGAGCTCGATGATGATGACAGTGGAGCATTGGATGAGAACGAGGCTGATAGTTTGCAGTTCCTTGAGCTGAATGCAGGTCCGTGTTTTGTGTCGACTCTTTCATGGCCCCTTCAGGCCATGAATCTACTGACACATTTTGGGTGCTTGAGCAACGTATCAAGCCACGCGGCAGACATTACGAGCGAAGACGGTGTTTGTGCGGATGAGAACATCGTTTGAAGTGTGCTGCACTGTGCTACAGGCATGTCGATCGAGAAGAAGCTTCAAGCTGAGGAGAGCTGTCAAGCCAAAAGCACTGATTGAGATGGCTATAGATGGCTCGAACATGCTCGAACACAGCTCTGGTCGACTCCATTGGGCTCAGGAGATCATTGAGTGGTACTTGAACGCATCTGAGGATCACACACTTTCCTTCTCCAGGCTTGGTGCTTTGCGTATTGCTATGAGATGCTATGTGTCCAACATGACTTTGACTTTGACTCGCTGCAAGGCGTCCAAGCGTTGCGAGAAGTAAGGACATGCCAGTAGCACGGCGAACTATGTCGCTCACTTTCAGTGATCCGTTACAGAAAGAAGAAAAGAGCGAGAGCCGCGTGTCGTCCCGTAGGACCAAGCACACGCTCCAACGTCGGTGTCCCCCGGCCCGTAGGCCCAAGCAAGGACTAACGCAAGCTGCAGGATGCATCAGGAAAAACCAAAAGTCCCAAGGCATTGACATGAGCAATACTGATGATAAGCACCACATAGCCAATGCAGCATGCCAAATGGAAAAGAGCTGGCCAATTCTGTCATTGCGATCTGTATAAATCAGCACGAATCAGATATAGGATAATGAATCACAACATCCAGTACAGTGAGAGAATAACAGCAGAATGCAATACAGAGCTAGCCATCGTCAGAATTTACAAGTCAAGTGCACTAGGCACAGTGGCAGCACAGAATGCAAGGATATGGTGCTTGCGAGGTCAGCTGCCTTACAAATCAGAAAAGAAGTTGCCTTAGCCCGATCACAATCAATAATGCGTAACTGTCGCCGTCAATAACATACGATAAGCCATTGTGCACAGTATCAGACTTCATATGTCGGGAGAAGCCAAAAAAGAACTGTGAGCTCTCAGTGACTGGGTGGCTCACGTCACAATCGTTGCATGAGCAATCAATTGTCAAAGCAATCTTACTCAGAGCAGAGAGGATGGATCTGCGTCACGCCATCATAGAGTCAGTGGCTTAGTATGTATGTATACAAATAAATAAAAAACGCAGGTGAATAACCCAGGTAGTAACAGTATGGTAACCAACAAAAGAGAGTCATGACTAAGCCACTGATCTATGCTTACAAGTCATGCGGGATCAGCATGCAGACTTTGTAACGATTCAGAGATGACGGCATTACAAATCAGGTGGGACATCCGGTTGCATAAGCACAAGGTAATACTAACGAAAGTTGGGATGCAGTCTAAGAAGGGGGTGCCAACATAAAAGTGAAATCCCACTGAAATCAGAGTGCCACAACCGGGATACCGTCATCCAGCATGCAAAGAGTCTCAGCACTCTTGAGGTGTCTCTGGCATGTGCAAGCAAATGGACGTCAGAAAAGGATAGAAACACAATCCAAACCAGGCCATGACATAATGAAAGGATTATTCCAAGACAAGTGGTCTCCCGCACCAGCCAGCCAAAGAATAAGGAAGTTGTGACAACACGTATACAGCGGCCCATACTACGGTCCTTGAACATCAAGAAATATAAACCCGCCACCGCTAAATAAGTAGCATCAAACCGAATGAAATCAGAATGCCGGCCACTCGGAAAATGAGCATGGTCATCCAGTTGCCATAGTAAGTCAACCAAAAACATGACCTAGAAACCAGAACTTCAAAACGATAAGCATGTCATGCACTGATTGACCATCCTCATTGACTCATGAGCTGCTAAGGCCATCAGCCCTCAGCCCAAGATCAGTGCTGCCATACAGAGAAAAAGAGGCTCAGAGAGATCAACAATGGATCAGACCTGCCCCGCATAAAGCACCTCAGGTGGCTTGAATGCGACACAGGCCGACAAGGTAACCATTGCACGCTATATCACGGTGGTCGTGAGCAGAAGCAAGACGAGGTTTGACTGAGTCATTGCAGATCATGAACTTCCAGCCACTCGAAAAACCAATACATCGACTAGGCACTGACAGCGCAGTTTGGTAGTGACCTGTATGCGGTGTGGCCCCAAGATGATAAACAACGAACGCCACTCTGCAATTGATCATAGTAGTGATGGTGGAGCCTGGGTGACTGAAGACTGGTATGGCAACCTCCTGTCCAGGTTTGATCTCAACTCTCATGTCCATCTTGTGAACACCATCAGCCGCATCATGGGTAAAACGGTGAAGTTGTAAAATCAGGGCACCACCAAAATACGACATGGCATGTATTTGTGCTTGACCCTCCCACACATCCAAGCAAGACTGAAGCGTCTGTTCCAATCTATCCAATTTCAACGGAAGCAGCGTCGTGCCCTTGTCAGCCACCCGCACAGCAGTACCTTGAGCAAGTCGGGCATGCCATTCTCCACAGAAGACCGGAGGCTTGGCATGACTCAAAAAATGAGCACAAAACTCAGCAGCGTCGTGTTGTTCGTGCGCCTGAGGCCAGGTAGCAAACACTGCAAGCCATGGTATTGCATTTGTAAGCTGAAGATTCCGAGCCCCATACACAACGCTCAGACAGCCAGAACAGGTACCACCTGCCAGGGTGTTGCTCTGGAAGATGTAACCCAGCTAACTCAAAGCAATGGCCACGGCATTGGCATAACACAAGTTGTGGGGGTTGAATAGTACCATGGTAGGGGCCACATAACTGGAAAGAGGACGCAGAATAAGTGGGGTGCCTGCTGTACCAGAGACATCTAGCCCAGGAGCTCCGCCAGCCGATTGGCTAGCGGAGAGCGACCCAGCCGCTCGCGGCGAAATCGACCGCCTATAAGCTTCCATGCTGTGCAGTTGATCATCCGCCGAAGCCAAGCATGAAGATTCTGTGCTTCCTCGCCAACAGTCTCGATTTCCAGGAGTAGTCGCCAGGTGTCCCCCGTCATGTTCTCGGAGATGGAGTGGTAGCCGTGGCAGCGCAGTATGTTCTCGGGATTGATCGTATCCCTGATCTGGTTGAGCTTCCTCATCAATCTTGAATGCTCCAGGGGTCTCGCTTCCTCGCTCGACACGATTTCCTCGACACGACGGGCTGGGTTCCAGCGTAGAAACGGCCAAAAGGGTTCGTCCCCCTGATTCAGGATGAGACCCGCCTGGGCTGAGGCTTCCAAGCGTGTCGGCTCCACCGCCGCCTGAGCTCTCTCGATCATCACTTCCAACAAGGTCGACAGCATGACTATCCGAAGCGGATGCTCCTGTATGCCCTCTTCGTCCTTCTTGCGGTTCCAAGCTGCTGACACTCTGGCCAGCGATGGTACTATCGATTCGGGTCCAGCGGTCCTCAACCACCAGACGTATCCTTGGTTCGCACGCTGCACTGCAATCGCGTCTTCGTGGCGCAAACACAGGCGCCCCATCGCTGAGATGACGTTGTCCTGATGACTGGAGCTCGAAGTAGTCTGAGAGGGATCGTTGTTTCCCTTCTGACCTTTGCCCTGTCCTTTGCCCTGCTTGCCCTTCTTGGTCTTGCCTTTCCCCGACGGTGTGGCCGTAGCTGCATTCGGAAGCAGCTGCTGCTGTGGCGTCAAAGTACTGGCCGGAGATGCTGTGGTCGATGATGGAGTGGGCGGGCCCATTACCGGTACCTTGACCGGTGGCTGCGAGGCAGAGGCTCGAACTCCCACAGGCTCCTTGGGACTGGCTGCTTCCTCGTGAATCTCCCCCTTCATGGCCTTAGAAAGACTTTCCTCCCGTCTGGAAGTATCCTCGAATATCCCACGTTTTGGCTGGTCCTTTGTATCCATCGGCTCGGCCTGGTCCTTCTGCATCTGGGAGGGCCGGGGGAAGAGGCTCAGAAAGTAACTGGTTTCGGCTCTCGTCGGCGGGGCAATCCCCGGCTCGTCGCCCATCCACCAGAAGAGCAAAATAAGCCTGTGTAAGGACTGGGCATCTGTGTTTAGCCTTCCTTGTTGGCACTTTACCACAGTATAAACAGGCTGCACTCAAACTGAGGGGCCGGACCAGAGCTCGAACCCGATTCCCGAGGGCCTCCCATAATACACCATGAGTTTTCTTGTAGTGCGAAGCTGCATAATCCGGATGCACAAACCACTGCCTGCACAAGCAGCAATGATGTTGAAGTTCCTGAAGAGAAGAGGAGGAACGTCGCAACACACCAAGCCCAGAAATGCGTATAGCTTGAAGAATCTCCGAGTTCTGCACCCAAGGCCGGACGGCTGATTCACCAGCAGGTAGGGCTGCATACGTGGCGTGTGTAGCCAAAATTTTGCACCGAGATTGCAGCAGATGCTCATATAAGTTGCGCCAGTTCGCAAACTTAAACAGACAATAAGCACAAGTAGGCATACCATCAACTGCATGCATGCGCACTGTTTCAAGCGTGACCTGACTACGGTTCCAGTCTTCAGGCAGATCATCACGATGCGACTTTCTTTGATGAATGCGAAGTCTGCGAACATCGTCAAAGGTTTGATCACAAAATTCACAGGCGTGTTGATGGTGAGGATCAGAAGGAAAGTTCTCAGGCACTGACATGGGTGATGCTCGGTAAGTTTGCATTTCATGCAAAAGCTGTCTGTACCATGACACATATATGGACCTGCACATGACATCCTCGGAGTGCAAATCATCCATCAATTGCCTGTGATAGGCCAGGGCATTAGCAGCCATGCACTCAAAATGAGCGCCCAAATCCTGCATTCCTAGTCGCTGCATCAGGTTCATGTTTGTCTCCGAGGTGAGATGCACAGGAGATCGAGCAATCAAACGAAGCTGCTTCATACACATGCCATGCATACGGGCAAAGCCAGAGGAACTCCATCCAATACCCAGTAGACCATAAGTCGCTGAGGGTAGCACAATGGTTTTCCACAGTTTGATTCTGTGTGATAGCGACAACACATGGTGACCCAAGAGAATCTTGCGTATACGCTCAAAGCTAGCACGAGCGACACCTATGCGTCGCTTCCAACTCAGCTCCTCAAAACCCCCGTAGGAGAGAACTATACCAAGATAGTCCAGTTGTTGGACCAGTGGTATAAATTCATTGTCCTGGCCAATGGGAACACGAAGCCACTCACCGCCGCGAAAGGTAGAAGTCCAGAGCTTCCGCAAACTCTGAGACATGGAACCACGTAAGGACATGATGGCGTTGCTTTTCGTAGGATTCACCTGTAGTCCAAACGTGCACAAGAGCCGAATGAAGCTCCCAAACTGTCTCAAAGCACACACAAGATGCGACGGCTGATCAAGTATCCAGCTCAAATGTTTATCATCTGCAAAGAAAACAACCTCAGGCTGAGTGGGATCTTGGCTGATGAGGCATTGGAATTCTTCATAGATCAGTCCCGTAAAGAGACTCCATAGAAGAGGACTCAGCACACATCCTTGCCTCACGCCTCTTTGAGCACGAACCTCGACTCGGGCTCCTCGATGCTCAAGCACGTATGTGGTACCACTGATCCAATCCATAATTCTTGCAATCAAAGCTGGGGGTGCTCCCGTTCGTTTGAGAGATTCATGTATCAGTTCCCAGGGTGCAGTGTCGAAAGCCTGAGACAGATCGACCGATATTTGCAGACACGCACAGAAATCACTTTGCTTAATAATGCCCTCTCGTCTTTGATGTAAATTGTGAGTGTGAGCCCGAAGAAGTGTACGTGCTCTACGGCAGTGATCTGCCACTTGAATAATCGCAGAATACGTCGACCGATGTGCCAGGTAAGCATGTTGCGGCTTGCCACGCAAATAAGACATAGCATACGGCTTCAGATCCTCAGCCAAAACTTTGATGTAGCCCTTTGCCACCGGGTCTTGCAGTCCAATGGGACGTAAGGACGAGATAGCACCATGTTTTTTACCCGGTTTGGGAATCAAAGCAACATGTGTAAGATTCCAAGACTGTGGCATACAAGGTCGACCAACACCACTCATCCAATCAGCAACACGATCACCTAGATATTCGGTAACCGCCTTGAAGGCGGGAGCAGCTGGGTGGGTGATTGGCAAAGCCTTGTATGGCTGTATACTGCGGGTGGAGCATTTCAGCTGGGCGAGATCAGGTGCATAGATGCGAGGCTCCTCTGTACTTTCATCAATGTTCGAACAACTTCGCAGTATAGGGCACTGCCAGCCTTGTGGCCTATGCCAAACTTTTTCAAAATGAGAGCGAAGTAGGCATAGCTCTTGGTCATGGGAAAGAATCGAACCATCTTCGGAGCGAATTTGCACAGATTGAAAGCGCTGTTTGGGCGCGAGTCGACGGACTATGCTGTAGAGCACAAATGCATTGTGGGAGGCAGCAGCCTCTTCCGCCTGTTGGATTTGATCGAGATACCTCTCCCGCTTCACCAAGCGTCCATGTCTTTTGGCCTCGCGGTGCATGGCCTTAAAGCGACTCGCATGATGCCACTGAGCAAAGCAGGTGGGAATGTCGAAGCTCGCTCGTCGTTGATATAGACGCGAAAGCTTGTAGTGAGCCCACATTCTTTTTATGGAGCCAGCCAGCGAGGGGTGATTCCACGGCTGTGGTACTCGTGACTTAATAGCCGGAAAATGTTCTGCACAACAGACCATAAGTTGATCTCGCATCTCATCATACGAGCTGAGCTCAGCATCAGCAAAATGTCTGACAGCGGCCTCAGCAAAGGTTTGATACTGCTGAGTTTGCAGATTGTAAGATTGAACCAAAGCCGCCCGATCATATCGAGTGGAGCGTGTTTTGGCAGGCCACCAGTGTCGTGGCAACGACAATTCAGCAATAAGTGGGTGATGTTTGGTATCTCGCCAAGCCATAAGAGATGAATCGTACAATGGTCGAGATCTCTTAGCACGGCCAAAAGCATCGCCACTACGAACAAATATAAAATCTATCTGTGTCCGACTGGCACAATGTTGATAGGTGAAGCTGGGACGGCAATGAAAAGTATTAAGAGCCACCAAATCATGACGCTCAGCAATATGCAGCAGCGTGTTTCCCTCTCGACAATGGTCAGGGTTGGTGGGAGAAGGGACACAAATGGCATTGCCAGTGTGAGGCGCAGCATACGGCAGGGGCTGATTGAAGTCCCCACCCACCACCAAAAGATTTCTGCCTGGCATCGACTGAATAAGAGTATCCAAGCGATTGAATAGCCTGCGACGCTTGTCCTTGACAGCTCGGCTCGGATCGGAGGAGGCAGCATGCTGATAAACATGAAGTATATCCACATTCCTGTGGGGGAAATCAATCCTGATATGAGTGAGGCGACCCTGCAGCACATTGTGAACACGAACCTGCTCAGCACTCACACCTGGGACACGAATCAATGTGAGCAAACCTGCATATCGGTCAGTCGAGCCTTCCGAGACACCATTGTGATACGCAAGCCAATTGCCATGCCTATATTCCGAGGTAAACCTCCAGTGAGACTCCTGAATCAAAACAATGTTGGGTCTCGACGCCTGAGGAATCTGGTCAAGCCACAACAGAAATTCAGGTAAGACCGCAGCTCCAAGTCCACTCGAATTCCAGGATATAATGTTGAGATCAAGTGCCTGCGGATTGTGCTGCCGCGTACGAAAAGTTCCAGATCGCGGAGCTCGGTCATCGGCCGATGCAACCGCTCCTCTGACATTCAAAGATCTGGCCGTACACCATCTGCCTTTGTAGAAAGTGCCACCAGCAACTTGCGCCCTCCGCTGGGCTCTGTGAAATGCTCTTTTCTTAGCCGTCGACAGAAGTCTTCCGCCGCTTGTCGCAGTCGCAAGAAGCTCCTGCGATCCTGCCTCTGTGGCGTCAGAGGCAACCCTCGCTCCTCCGACCCTCGAAAATACCGTGAAAAGAATAAGAAAACTGAGCCATCTGGACATGAGAGGAAAACGAAGACGAAAAGATCCAGACAGGGGGTCGGCTCGGGACTTGGGACCCGAGGGCTCACCAAAAGAAAAGGGTGTGGTTCGCTGTGATACAAAGTCAAGTGATAAGAGAAAATGAGATATACTATGTGTGATTCGTCCACTACCAGTGCCCCACAGCAATAGAACACATGACCATATATGTTGCCAGACTCTGAGAAAGTGCTCAATCTGTATCCATTCAAACTCAGGCAGATACCCAAGGGCTGAGAAGCATTCCCGCAAAAAGCGAGTGGTCATCAACACCAACGACCACATGGTGCTGCAGAGCAAATATATCAAGATTCCGGCCCAGGATGTGCATGAGGGAGTCCAGAAGATCTGGAACATGACCTGATCGAACTCAAAGCAGCAACATCTGCTGATAAGGAAAATAAGAAGCACAAACAGCCCAGTCAAGATCGCACATTTCATGTATGCAGAAGGGAGCGGAGGCTGTCCGGAGGTCGTGGCCGCATCTGGCTGTACATCTGCCATAGGCTCTCCAGGGGTCCCAACATCAACTGATATAGCTGCATGATCGTCTGCAGCAACTTCAGTCGGCATCGGCTCGGTGACAGGCGGGTCATGAACTGCTCGTGCTTTGGCCGTCGCAGCCTTGATCGCCTCCCGTCGTTGCTCCATGCGACGTCTAAGGGCTTCACGCTGTGCTTCAAGCAAAGCAGCGCATCTCTCATTCATGATGCGCCTCTGGGTTTCCGGGTCAGGGTCATCATTATTGTCAGCGGCCGACAAGGGAGATGGTCCCGCATCAGTACGTCCTTCCCCAGACGAAGCAGCTGCCTTGCACTTAGCAGCCCGCAGCTTCGGCGCATGAGATCGACGAGAGGTAGAGCCAGTGGTCTTAGTCAACTCCCCTGGCGTAGCCAAGCTTTCACGAATTGACCCTCTGGCCTTCTTCGGGAGCTTCCGAGCCGAGCTGGATTTGGCCATAGCACCAGAGGAAGCAGCCACAGCCGGGGCTGTTCCTGCAGGCTTCTTGCCTCCTTTCTTTTTCGAAGGAACATGACGAAGAGCTCGAGGGAGCGGGCTACTTTTAGTCCGTGTATCATCTCCGGACACACGTCCAAGCGCCCTCGTGGGGAAGACACCATGTAGGCCCTGGGCTGCATCTCCCGGAGTCTCATCATCAGTATCCATGGGCTGGTCGGCCGGAACGGGGAAGGTTGAGACATCCCAAAACTGTATTGGCCGACCTTGTATGGTCAGCTCCACCAGGTGACTGCCCGTAGGGACATCTGGAAGAGCATCCACCATTCCCTGAGAAAGTCCATGTCCACCACGGAGTCGGGGCAGAGGCTTTTTCTGGCCTTTTGCATCACGCAGACGGGCCTGCAGTTTCCTCAAGCGAAGCAAAGAGGAGGCCTTCAGGTGCTTCAGCCTTGGCAGAGGTTCACGAAGGCGGAGCCGAGGAAGCGGCTGACGAGTCACAGACTGACTCCCAGCCGCCAAGGTAGAAGATGTAGCCGTCAGAGGCCGTCTCCTGGGAAGTGCTGGCCTCTGATCCCAGGATCTCTTGGGTTCCGGGGCCTCCGGTGTGTAGCGCTCCATCGCGGGAACAAGAGCCGCCGATACTGAAGATGAAAGATTAATACAGGACCCAGGCTTCACGATGTGCAAATATGCATAAACGAAGATATCCAACAGAGGTTGCAACATGGTTACAAAATTTCCCAGCAGGTAAATCAGAATAACAACGCAGCCTCGAGCCTGGTCTGTGGAAACCGCAAGAGTAAGAGTGCATAGTTGCTGACAACCACTGCCAGAGACATTGCAAGAAACTTGAAGCCAAGCAGGTAATGAGTACCAGAGTGCCCGACCATCTGAAGGCATCATTGAAGACGAAGAGGGCATAGTGTCTATATAAGGTGGACCTGAGTGGGAGCCAAATCCCAGCGAGCATTGAACACTTCGCACATAGATAGCTTCCAGGTCCCAAGCCCAAGAGCATCCAGCGTCCTGCCAGTTGATAGAAAGCCACAGCACCCGCAAGAATACCCTGACAGATAGGCTGGCGCCATACCAGCAAAATAGGATGGGATCGCACCTCGGAATCCAGGTTGATATCCAGCGGCCAATAACCAAGAGACATAAATAGGCAGCAGACTGCTCGCCATGTGAAGATCTCTCCTCCGCAGATTGGCTACAACCACACCATTGACTGTAATACTTCATATACAGCATATCCTGCATCAAGCAATGAATGTCCAGAATATAGCTCAGGAAAGAAGCACAATCCAGCCTTCGCACTGTCATCCCAGCCTGGGTGAGTGGAATACCCAATGTGTCAAGGAATACTGCAAGCAGCTGATAGAGTTTTTTCCAGGCGAGCCCAAAGTATCCACACATCCAATTGCAGATTGCAAATAGCTGGATAAGCTGTACAAGCAATAGCCGCACCAGGCCTTTAGGCATCACTGTCAAATTCGTTGGTATGTACAGAGTCAACCGGCGACATGTGATCCAGCTCCAGATCCATCGAATCATCAGTACAGGCTGCTGCAGCGTGATTCTCCCCCAGCTCATCCGAGGAGGGAGGGTCAGAGCCGGCTTCGTCCATGGGTGAAGAATGATGTGGCTGCGCAACCAGGAGCCGTAGCGGCGAGAGTGGAACAGGATCAGTTTGTACTGCCGCGTCCACAACAGAGCGAGGGCCCGCCCTTCGCCTTTGACATCCTCTCCAAAGAAAGGAACGGCGCACACGCGTAATTCGCAATCGCCGCCTCCCACGTCTTGCCTGATCCTTGCTGTGTCTCGATCCAGACGCAGCGATGTGTGGTGCCTGTGACGGTCGTGGCTTGGGCCTGGTATGACCACTGGAAGAGGCAGCAGTGGTGCCAAGGTGATGCGGGGATGAGTCAAAGAACTTCGGATA